TAAAAACATGTTATTCTTAAAAAATAGCATTATTTTTCTATGAATATTGTCTTTGTTATTCTTCAAGTTTTACGTCGAGACTTTGTCAGCTTGATTTGTTTCCGCGCTTTTTATAGAGAAAGAAAAAAACTTTATTGAATTGATTTATTTACAATTGTTGGAACAATAATCAAAATGGCCGACTTGGATATGGGCGGATATCCAACCGAGGTTGCAGCGATATGTACTTGAAGATAGCTGCAGCTTGACATCAAGCTGTTCTGGTTCCAGATTCCAATCTGGATCAAAATGGCAGCCTTGCTCAGACAGCTGGATGTTGCTGTGACTATGGAAACATACGTCTCCCCTCCAAGTTACTCATTTCCACTATCACCAAGAGTCACCAAATTTCATTAAGAAAAAAAAGGATAACCATCAATTTGATCAACACAAAAACTGAAATGCGTCAAATTGACCCGTAACATAATATAAGGGTTAACACACACTATTTTAACAGGTATTATGTATAGTTTAATTCAGTGTTTGCAAGATTAATTTCACCATTTTCAAATGAGTGTCTATATTGCCATGAAGCAATTACGATAAGGCATGTATATTGCAACATTTTTGTAATTAAATTTAAATGTAAAAATTATTTTAATGGATACTGTCACGTGAACGAGGTTTTTTTTTTTTTAAATACGTCACCAAAGCTAACGTGAATGCTGTTTTTATGGTGTATTTCAAATTTCTTTGAAGTTTGCCCTTCATATTTTTACTTTCACTGCGCCAAACTTCCGGCGGTTTGGCGATACGGGATATTCCTAGGGGTGACCTAATGAAAATTTCCGACTTAGATATTGGCGGAGTTGAATATCCATCCCATAATCCATCCTTCCCGCCAGCAGTCAGTCTGACCGTAGAAGAAGAACCGCGTTCACGTGACAGCTTTGTTTACGTGGTGACGTGTACCGGAAGACACGTTAACTTGACAACGGCTTGAGCGGATTCTGTGGAGGACAGGTGTTGGCAGTGCATTGATACATTTCTGTTCATTAAACAAGTAAAGGCGTCATTTTCGCGCATTTTTCGTTCTTCTTTCTCAAAGTCGTAAACAGATGCGGAAGAGCAGCGACATTTTACGTAGCTTGGATTAGCTGTGAAGTGGCCCTGCTGTGGACAGGTAGGTTGTTTCAATACTCTTATTTCTTTAATCAGGGCTAATATTTCGACTTAAGCCATAACCTATTGTGTTTTAAGGGGTTTTTTGTTGTTGCTTAAAATTTATTTTCTCTCGCAAATTAATATTCAGATGTAATATTATCTGCAGTGATCGGTTATTTCTATTTTAATCGTCGGATTTAAGGTGAAAAAAGGGAAAGGAAGAACTAGCACGAGGAATGTGGTGTGTAATTTTAACAACATTTAGCAGAATGTTTGTGTTTATTTGTTTCCTTGTCGTAGGCTTTTCATGAAGCTGCCATTTGTTTCCTGGAGCCATGGCCAGTCCAAATGATCTACGATTTCAAGGTAATGGCCGCCGCCAACTTTCTTTAGCCTCTCGGAAAAGAAACTGTAGAGGGAAAAAAACAAACAAAAAGAGATCTAGTTGTTGTGCGAAACCGAACACCAGGATCTGGAGGTTTAAATGTACCCGGATGGGATAAACGGCAGCAAACCAAATCCAGATACACCTGTACCAGACTACTGTACTGATGGTCTGCTTCCCCTCCCTGTGTGTGTGTGTGTGTATATGTGTGTGTGTATATATGTGTGTGTAGAGTTTGAGGAGGCGGCAGACCTGTTGTCTGCAGACCCCGGGGCCTCCACGGTCAGCATGTCTGCATCAGCCCCCCCCACCTCAGCAGCTGGATCTGCAGCAGCCGGGGAGGACGTGAAGTTAGACCTGTCTGACGACGAGCAGGGCCAGGAGGAGCAGTCGGAGGTAAAAACATCTGTGCCACACACTTTGGGGGGGGGGTGCTGCTTGGAGCTGACAGATGCCTGTGCTTGTAGCTTTTAGGCGGACAGAAACCGAGCGGCGGCGGCTTCTGGACCTTTGAGTACTACCAGTCTTTTTTCAACGTGGACACGGTGCAGGTAGCCAACATCAGATCCTCTCTGTGAACCATGCCAGTGAGCAGCCAGTTTCAGGGGTTGTTTTCTGTTTTATTTGTTTGATCCCCACCCATCACACAATGCAGGTCCTGGATAGACTCAAGGGCTCAGTGATGCCACTTCCTGGAAGAAACTTCATTAAACACTACCTTAGAAATAACCCGGATCTTTATGGTAAGCAGAAGTTTACACATTTTCTTTTGGTACTTTAATATCACAAAAAATTTCATGATGTACATCAGCTACAGATGAACATCATAATGTTCTGGGTGGATAAAGAATGAATGGCCAGAGTGACTTTAGATTTAAATGTAAAAGATAAACTGCCCTGTTCTGGATTCATTTGACTAAATTTCGATGAAAATGATGGAAAATGTTTTAGGGAAAGAATGGAAATAGCCTGTGCTACAAAGAATAGGGCATTCTTTGTGAAAAGTGGAGCGACTGGTCACAGTGTGGCCTCCATAACGCCGGGTCACGGCAGGAATTAGCATTTTCTGGAGCCACATCTTTGTTGCTTCTAGTCATCTCCCCTCAAAGGGTACATTTCTAAAGCTGTGATAGTCAAAAATCCCTGTGCTACACTTTCTTGACGGCAAGTTTAGGTTCTGATTTGATTTGAAGGTGACGCCTGGTCCAAATGTGTGTCTGCGCAGGTCCGTTCTGGATTTGTGTGACTCTGGTGTTCTCAGTGGCCATCAGTGGGAACCTGTCCACCTTCTTCCACGACATGGGAAACCCCTCCTACCGTTACAGGCCGCAGTTCCACAGAGGTCAGTGTCAGCCTCTGGTCAGCCAGAACCGGCCCGCTCTGGGTCCGGCGCTGAATCGGAGCTTGTTTCTCTGCTCTGGACAGTGACCATAGCAGCCGTGGTCATCTTCATGTACGCCTGGCTGGTCCCGGTGGCCCTGTGGGGTTTCCTGACCTGGAGACAAGGGGCTGAGAGGCAGATCGGGGGTTACTCTTTCCTGGAGACTGTGTGCGTCTACGGCTACTCCCTCTTCATCTACATCCCCACATCAGTGAGTACAGACACCGTCCTGAGTTTCCCTCCATGACCTAAACCAAAATAACAACCTCAATAATTCTGTGATCGCTATGCTATTTTTTTGTAACAATGGTGGAGGAGGGTATTTAACTCAAGTCATGAAAAGAGGCCGCTTAATGGACAGGGCTCAGCTGTCTTTACACTCGTTTGTTGTTTTAATGATAGTTTTGCTCTTTTATTCTTAAAAAAAACAAGTTCTTTAAACTAAGCAGAATCTTAGCTTAAAGTTAGAAGAAAAAATATTTTATTAAATATTTTGTAATGAACTAAACATCAGATTTAGTTTTTTTGCTTATGGGAGTAAACTTTGTAATTAGTAACAAGTAAAAAAAAAAACTACCCAGTTCCAGTGAGCTGATTTGCGACGTGTGTGAATCTTTTTTTTCTCTCCTCCAGATTTTGTGGATCATACCGTACGAGTGGCTGCAGTGGACGCTGGTCCTCGTTGCCATGGCGATCTCTGGCTCCGTCCTGGTCCTGACCTTTTGGCCCGTGGTCCGCGACGACACCAGGGTTATGGCGGTGGCTACCGTGGCAACCATCGTGGCTCTGCACACGCTGCTGGCTATCGGCTGCAAGGCAAGTGAGCGTCCGGTCGGGCCGTCTCCGTCCAGCAGCGCGCTGACCCTCCTCTTCCTTCTCCAGCTCTACTTCTTTCAGTCGGCCGTCCACACAGAGCCACCGGCCCCCACCAGCCCCCCGGTCCACACCACTCTGGTCGCCAAGCCTCACTGACCAAAGCCTGGCGGCCAGCGGTGTCCAGCATCCCTCTGTGTGGTCGTCACATCAAGAGCTGCTCCCCGTTAGATCCACTGTGGGGTTGTTTGGGAATGGAAGCGTTCAAACGGCCTGGCACAGCCTCTGTAAAACTTATTCCACTCCTGCTACCAAAAATAAGACGATTCAAATCCTCGATACGGGAGAAAAGGTGGGACTCCTGAATCAGCCAGAGCAAGAGACCACCAGTCCCACCGTCTGTAGCAGCAACACGCTGTAGAATCATGAAGTGGAAATCCTCATTGGTGGTGGAAGAAATCTTTACTTTCTGCAAACTTTTACCACGAATTGTATTAACTTCAGAACCTGAAATGTTAGATCGCTGCATAACCAGTTAATTTACTTCTTGAACTTGCTCGAGAAAGGTCATTTGTTGAAAAAAAAGGAAGCTTTTCCAGACTGTGAAGTATTCATTCTCCATCTGTAAACTGAAAAGGGCAATCATACTGATGAAAGGCCTCAAATGATCACAATGATTCAGGAGGAGAGACGGTTTAAATTAAGGACAATATTTATGTCTGCAGAATTATTTATTCCTTACTGTGATGCTGCTGAGGGTTTGTGGTAATAAACTTAATATGTTTACTCTTTATTTGTGGCCTGTCATTACTTCTGCTCTTCCGTTTGTTCAGCCCATGTCCCTGTTCTCTTCTGGGTTAGATAGATTCTGAAGTTTTCCATTTAATTTGCCATGAATTTGGCAACATATTATTCATATTTATTATTCATGGAAACAAGTCTCAGGTTGTAATTTTCCTAGGAAGGGTGATGAGTTGTTCCAGTCATGGTTATTGTAAATACTCAGAGACTGTAAAGATTAAAACCATTGGTGTTTTTTACTTTCTTAAAATTCTTTTGTTGGTTCGAGTTCAGCCTCATGTGGCTCTAGCTTGTTCTTTTTTCTTAGAAATCTTTTAAAAACCTCCTTAAAACTAAAAATGTTATGCATTTGGTAAATGAACTCAAAGAGATAAATAGTTATATTTGCTCAAATACCTGAAAACATATTTTGATTGACAGCTTTTATTCTCCTCATTGCTTATCTATTTTTTCACTTTTTATTACTATAAAGTTGCACTAGCCATGGCCACAGACCTGCTTTGCATTAGACTTGTGTGTAATCAGTCATTTTTCCTACTGAATTCCACATGGACCACCTGGTTTGTCCAACAGCTCCAGTAATCCAGCTGTTTTTGGGTGTTTGCCTAGTAATTACCGATTAGCAGCTATTCTCTCCTTTAAGGCTTCTTCAGTGAGTCTAGTTAAGGTACCAAATGTGCTTGTGAGAGATCCCCGGCCAGAGTGGCTGAAGGAGGGCAGCAGACAGATGTCCTCCAGTGTAACAGGTGCTTTATTTACTACAACAACAAAAAGCATGTCCAAATTTATTTTTTACAACAGTCCAGAAAGTATACTCAAAAGTGTCAAAATGAACAAAACTAAACTTAGATCAAACAGTGCACACAGCTCCACTGAGCCGGTCGGGG